CTGGAAGTCAGCTCTGTGGGTCTTGTGTTCCGGAGATGCCCATCATCCCCCTGGGCCCCTTGAACACTCCGGGTCAACACCAGCAAAATGTCCTTGAGTCTGTACATGCCCCTCCTAAAAAGGATTGTGTGGGAAGATGATGGAATGTAGAAGGTGCAGATGTGGTCACTTCAGCTTTAAAATGTCATTATCAGTGCTAATTATAGGCTTGTATTTTTTTGTTATCTCATAGCTTTTGCTTATATAGCTAAAAAATATTAAAATCAAATGTAATGTGGGAATGGATGGATAGGAGGAGATGAACACAAGTTACATTTTATATTTTTACAGCTTCTACTGGAGGAAAAAAGTTTTGGACATCTAGACTGACTTGTTGACTTTTTAAAAATGAATACATTTTAATGAAACTTTTAATACCGTTTTCTCAGTGCCTTTAGAAAGAGCCTTCACATATATTTCTGATACTGTGGTTTGTATTAAATATGCAATATTGATATAAAATAAATCACATGTTAAATCATGTTTACCATAAACAGAAATGTCTACTTGATTTTCCAAATGAAGTAACTGTATTTCCTTTAGTTTGTGTTTCTAGTCCTTTACTACTGGATAGAAGGCAAGAATAAAAGTGAAAATAAACATGCTGGCACCAAAAGTTGCAAGGAGGAGGGATAAGGCTGAGCGCTTGCCATGGGCTTGCTGGGCGCTTCCTCCTCACCCACCAGTCCCTCTCCTCCTCATGTTGACGGTTGGGGGGCCTCCCCAGGTGCCATTAGGATAGCCCAGACCTGCCCTGTCCTGTAGGGAACGGACACCTGGTCCCTGTGAGTGTGTGCATGTGTTTGCGAGTACAGGTATGGGATTAGGGCGCCCTCATGGCTCCGTGACGGGTGGCAAACTTCTCGGTCTGAGCTCACAGGGAGGAACGGGCAAGGGAGCTCTGTGCAGTCTCTTTGTTTCAGGGCACTGATCCCATTCTCATGGCCTAGCGGGAGGGGGACATTTAGGCCACAGCAGCAGCCCACCGGCCCCCACTGGGCCTCACGCCCTCCAACAGCAGTGTTGTTGGGCCCCTCTGAGTGCCAGGGCTGTCACAGTGCTGGGGACCCAGCAAGGAAAGAAAGACACAGAGCTCACTGGTGCATGCGCATGGACACAGTGAGCACAGAACCACCTGGTTCTGTAATGCACGGGAAGGGGACAGGCACCACACTGATGGGCTGGAGGAGCGTAGCCCGGGTGGAGGTTTGTGGGCAGGGCCACATGGAGGGTCACACGACAACAGCCTGCCAGGCTGGGGGTGGCCTGGGCTGGAGTCAGAGGACAAGGAGAGGGTGGGGACAAGGTCCTGGAGGGCCTGCAGGTCACACACAGGCCTGGGAGAAAAGGGATAGAGGAGGGCTCTGTGTGGGAACAGCCATGCGCTGCAGTCTGAGGGTCATGTGGGCTGCAGGGCAGTAGGGCCCCCAAGGCCTTCCTAAGGACACAGGGAGCCCCCCCCCCTCCGACCGGGTCTCTAGCCTGGAGTCCTGCTTGCCCCTTTCTGGTCTCCCCGCACTTGTTTGCCCATCTGGTGGATTTGTCCACGTTCTCTTTGTAGCAGCATCCCCTCAGTGACGGATTTTCTGTGTCTGTGGCTTGTCTTTTCGTTTGAAGATTTTATAAAATACAAGAGTTTAACATTTTAGCATTGCAGTCTTTTTCTTTATGGCTTATGCATTTAGCATCTTCGGAAAAACCTGACAGTGCCTTTGACATAAAGCCCACGTTGTCTGATACTAACTAACGCTGGTGCCCCACCAATGTTCTGTGGCCCTGACTGCCCTGTTCCTCCGTGTTTTAGATGCTTTTCTCATAACCGTTGCCTGTTTTAAAATCCATTTACTTGTGCTCTGATAGTTGATATATTTGAATGTATTTTTACATTCCAGGTACATATGTCCTTTGAGGTTTTTCGCCTGCCTTGTGTCCCCACGGGATTGCAGCTCTTTTCTCTGTTCTTTCCCCTATTTGTTTGGAAGTTACGATTCTAGTTCTATTCTTCATGTGTATTTAACAAAGTCTAAGTTGGAACTAATCAAGAGCTCTATTCTCCCAGAACAGACAAGGATCTCAGGGCCTTTAGGACATGCTACTGCACTCTGCTCTTTACTCTAAGGTTGGGGGGCTTCTCTAGAAATATTCCTGGGGTTGCTTTTGTCAAAGGGCTTCAGTGAGAGCTGCTAGGCTGAGGAGGGTGTTAGACCCAAGTGAAGTGCAGGCTCCCAGCTCTGAGTTCTTGGGGGGAGAGGGACTTCCCTGACTCAGGGAGCCCAGGACCTGGGAGAAACTGCTTTTGGGGACTTTGTTTTCCTTGGTCCACTCTTGCACTGAGGATGCATCCTTTGAGCATCCTGGCTTCGTGGAAGAGCCCTGACCCCACACATGGGTGCGAAAGCCCATCCTGGGCATCAGCCCCCTCCCCTCCTCACCCATCCTTGCTCTAGGATAGTTTTCCTTCATGCTTTCCTGAGCTTGCTTGGGCTTAGGAAAAGGGTGATTTACAAGGGTGCTCGCTATTTTCATCCAATGTTTTACAGGAGGCTTTCAGTTATTTGGTCTGCCAAAAAGAGAAGTCAAAAATTTTTTTAATCAAGTTCTATTTTTCTAGTTTTAAGGAGAAAAAAACTCCTTTAACAGCCATCCCAATATTAACCATCCTGGCTGAGGAAGTTATTAGGGAGTCCTACCTCCAAACACAATTGTCAATAGCACAAGGCTCCACCTGGGTATGTTAAATGTTGTTATATTTTGAATTAAGCCCTAAAAGCTTTGATAATCTTGGCAAATTTTTTATTAATTTCAAAATGCCTTTACAGTTATAGTTTTAAACATAATTTCAACTTTTTGTTTACATTCTTCATTGCTCAATTTAGTAATATATTTTCATAAGTTGCTAGGTACAGATGGGATAACAAAGGGATCGGCCGTCAGAGTTAGTACGCTGAAGTAGCGCCCCTCGTCCGCTGTTCAGCTGACAGCAGACTGTGGGGGGGCTCACACGACTGCATCTTCCTCCCCCATCCTGCTGTGTGCACACCCTTGTGCACCCCACTCCACCTTCCTCCCGGTCGGCTCCCATTCCTGACGTGCTCCAGTCTCCTTCCTGTTTGTATGAACTTGGCTGACTTTCGGGAGGTGCTTGTCCCTACAGTCTGGTCTTTGTAACTGCGACAGTGTTCCTTTTCAGTGTGAAGGCAAACAGTGCTTCTTAAACAGGCTAGCCCTGAAATCTGAGTGGCTTCTCACTCTGGGAGTTCTGACCAGTGGGCCTCTCCTCCACACAGTAACTCAGGGACCAGCTTCCTCCCCTCCCTGCAGCTCTGCCCCACCACACTCCGATCCCGGAGCCCGCCCAGCGTCAACTGTGGGGTGCTCCCATGTGGGCTTCTGTCTGTACTCATTAGAAGTGCTGGTCGTGAGGTGTGCTGGTCCTGAGGGCCTGAGTTCATTTTTGATTCCAGAGTGTAACAACAACAGCTCACTAGGAAGCTGCCCAGGAACATGGGGAGTGTTGGACTGACAGTCACATGTGCCTGATTACCAACTGTGCCCCACCTTGTTCATTAACTTACTGAATGTCTGCCCTATGTCAGTCACTGGTCTGGGGAGGAGCTGGGGCTACAGCAAAGGAAACAAAGCCCCTGCCACACTGTAGCAGGAAAGACAGGTATGAGCTGATAAAGACAGAACATCGGTAATGGAAACCACCGGGAATACACAACATGAGGTGGAGTGAGGGAGAGGCGGGGCGGCTCCCTCACAGAAGGAGGCCACAGAGGGTTACAGAGGACACACAAGCAAAGAGACCATAGTGAAGGTGAATCCTGAGAATAGGGCCCAGGAGGAGGTCAGCCTGGGGACACTGAGGGGAGAGGGCAGAAAGGGCTGGAATAAGAGGGGCTGAGTGAGAAGGGGCCCTCCCCACCCCAGCATCACCCCGCTCCACAGAAGCAGTCCTTGGTGCAGGGAACCGTCCTGACAGCCACCCCCCACACCTTGGTAGCAGCCAGGCAGGGATCCCGGCCTGATGGTCACTCCCCCCCAGGGGGTGGCAGGGGGCCGTCCTGACGGCCACACATCCCCCCACCCCAGTGAGAGCACCCCTGGGGCGGGAACCCTGCCCTGACGGTCACACATCCCCCCACCCCCAGTGAGAGCACCCCCGGGCGGGGACATCATCCTGACAACCACCACACATGACCCCATGGGAGAGCCCCCGGGTGGAGACCCCGTCCTGACGACCACGCATGCCCCCCCCACTGAGAGCACCCCCGGGCGGGGACCCCGTCCTGACGGCCACACATCCCCCCACCACAGTGAGAGCACCCCCAGGTGGGGACCCTGTCCTGATGGCCACACATCCCCCCACAACAGTGAGAGCAACCTCGGGCGGGGACCCCGTCCTGACGGCCACACATCCCCCCCACTGAGAGCACCCCCGGGCGGGGACCCCGTCCTGACGGCCACACGTCCCCCCAACTACAGTGAGAGCACCCCCGGAGCGGGAACCCTGTCCTGACGGTCACACATCCCACCCCCGCAGCGAGAGCACCCCCGGGCGGGGACCCCATAGAGAACCCCCACCCTGTTGGTCCCACCGCTCAGGCCCCGCCTTTCCGGCGTGCGGCGGAAGCGGAAGTGCCCGCGGGCGCTGCTCACTTCCGGTCGGGCTGCGGGCGGCGGCAGTGGGAGGTGAGTGGGTGGCGGCGGCAGTGGCCGTGGGCGGGCTCCGGGGCGGTGGTCGCCGAGGCGCCGGGACTGGGGGGCGGGTACGCGCGGCCCCGGGAGGTGGTCCGCACAGCAGGCCGCTCCAGTGACGCGGCCCGCGCGCTCCGCGGCCCGAAAGGCGGGCGGAGGTGGTGGCGTTGCGGTCCTCCCGGGGCCCCGTCCTCCCGGCTCGAGGAGGCAAGCGTGGACTCCGAGAGCGCCGCTCGCTGGAGAACTGCGGGGGCAGCGCGCTGGGCCGGCGGCGGCCCCGAGCGGGCGGCCGGGGGGATGCGCGGCTTGTCGGGTCGGCGGCGGTGCCGGTAAGGTGTGGAAGCAGACGAGAACGGAAGCGTGCAGGTACGGAGTTCGCCGTGGAGCGGATGTCGGCTTGCCTCCCGGTGCCGGGGTTCACGGCTCGCGCCTTCGGCGTCTTGGCGTTCCTCTGTCCCGCTGAGACTTTGCGCTTTGGGGTGGTACCCGGTCGGTCAGGTGGAAGGAGAGACCGTGCCGGCAGCACGGTGCTGTTGGAAAGACAGTTAATACAGAGCCCTCCGTGGAGATGGTCCGTGGGGTTGAGGGTTCTGCTGTAAGCATGTGGGGTGGGGGGGCGGGTAAGGAATTTAGGGAGAGGACGGATCTTTTTCATCTCGTCAAGAAGTTGTATACAGAAAACATGCATGGAAATAGTGTAATGTCTGAGGCCAGGGGCACACATGTTTATTAAATCCTCTCATTTGCCAGACGCTCCCCGGATACCCCTTTGGCGCCGGGACTAGGGCATTGGAGCTGGGATGGAAGGTAGGTTTGCTTGAGCAAAGGTGCCTTTTGCCCTCTCATCTTTGTTTATTAGGGTTGTTAAATGTACAAAGTAGAATTTCGGATGTTACAGACAGTAATGATTTTTTAAAAATATGTCTTTTAAGTTTAAGATTTATTTATTTGAGAGAGCGCGCATGCGCGAACACGCCTGCAAGCGGGGAAGGGGGGCCAAGCCGGGGGGGTAGACGAACCATGAGAGACGATGGACTCTGAAAAACAAACTGAGGGTTGTAGAGGGGGGAGGAAGAGAATCTCAAACTCAGAGCCCTGAGCCCCGACACAGGGCTTGACCTCACGACCCTGAGATCACGACCTGAGCCGAAGTCAAGAGTCGGGTGCCACCCACATGCCCCAGTAGTGATTTTTTTGAGGGGCATGTGCTGGGACTTGAGCTGGGGGTGGGTGAGGCGTGTTGAGGCATATGCTGTCCGGGTGCTTCCGTGTCCTCATTGAGGCCTCCCCGCACAGCTGCCCCACGAGTGTGGCCAAAGGGTGCTATGAAGGTTCCAGAAATTGGCTCTGTCTGTGGGAGAGAAGTACCTTGGAGACTGACATCTGATAGGATGAGGGGTCTAAAGTCCACATAGAGACATCCTCCATTTGTTCATAGCTCATACCTGTAAATGCCTCTGCTTTACTTAAAGGTAAAAGTGCCTTCATATCTGAGTTCTGAAAGCTTATATCTATTATTAAGGAGTTCATAATCCTGGTTCAGCTTTCAGCTTTACTGGATTAATGATCTCAGATATTCTCCTTATAGCTCCATTGTGAACAGCTGAGACTGTTAGGGGGAATGAGTTTTGTACCGACCTTTTCTACCTTCCTAACACATCTTCCCCTCCTGCTCCCTCTCTCCCTGTTCACACAGGATGCCTCTAGTATGACATGTGCTGAGATTCCACCTGCTTTTTAACCATGAAGGAGACAGACCGGGAGGCTGTAGCAACAGCTGTTCAGAGGGTTGCTGGGATGCTTCAGCGCCCGGACCAGCTGGACAAAGTGGAGCAGTACCGAAGAAGAGAGGCCCGGAAAAAGGCCTCAGTGGAGGCCAGACTGAAGGTACGAGACTAGAGGCCACAGGCATCCACTTGACTCCCAGTCAGGATAGATCCATTTACCTTGAGTTCTGGGTTCCTGCATAACATCATCATTGTAGTTTTGCTAAATTAGATTTTGTGATGATCTGGAAAGAGGCAGAACAGACCATAACCCTTACTTAACACATTCCTTCCAAAACTGTATTACCAAGCAGTAGATTATAGAGAAGTTTGTGGGAATATTGGAAACACCAAAGGAACAATCTTTTAAGCACCCAGAAGTGTCCTTTTAAATTTTAAACAATATTAGAAGAATAGCAGCTATCCTTATTTGTTAAAAGGTCTTCTACAGAGTGCCACTAGAGATCATTTTGTTTAGAACTTTTCAGCATACGCTGTAGCTGGCTGGCTGTGTGCCAGGCACTCTGCTGGCACTGGGCAGGAAGGAGCGAGGAGAGCGAGGCACAGTTATTAAGCATGTGAGAGTGGGACAAGAAAGAAAATTATTCTTTTTCAAGGTATTTTGTGATTGGTTTGGTTTTCAACTTAATTTGTATGAAGAGGTAAGGTTTTGTTAAAATACAGACATTCAGTGTAGTTATAAAAATGTTAAGACCGTGGCCTGCTGTGATTGATAGGCAGCAGAGCAGTCTTGGGGGTGAAGAGAATGCCCTTGAGGAAAGTTCATTTTCTTTTTTTTTTTTTTTTAAGATTTTATTTATTTATTTGACAGAGAGAGACATAGCGAGAGAGGGAACACAAGCAGGGGGAGTAGGAGAGGGAGAAGCAGGCTTCCCCGCGGTGCAGGGAGCCCGATGTGGGGCTCGATCCCAGGACCCTGGGATCACGACCTGAGCCGAAGGCAGATGCTTAACAAGTGAGCCACTCAGGGGCCCCTGAAAGTTCATTTTCACACTCATATGGCACTTGAAAACACTTAGCATTTGGATAATGGCAGGCTTGATAAGACAGGATGAGGATCATTTGTACCAAAATGAAGCATCCAAAGACTGGTGGGCCTATTTAAAGCAGTAGTTTTACTTTAATTTAAAAAACAGTTTGGACTTGCTTCATTTTTAGTCAGCATTTTAATCTGTTCCAGAAACTTGTGGGATTAGCTGATGATCATCAGTAGTGGCCTAGAGAGTGGCAGCTTAAACGGCTCCTGGGTCGAATGTGTACCTGGCTTTGGTTATGCCAACTGGCCCTCCCTTCTTTCCCCTCCACTGGCTGCCCCTCCTTCATGTCCCCTCCCTTTTGGCTGTGTATCACTTGCTGATGGCATTTCGGCATGCCAGTGGAGTGAGTCTGAATCCCAGATGTACCAACTCTCCGCAGTGGGGCCAGCCATCCTTGAGCCAAGTCTGGTCGTGGCTGAGTGGCAGGAGGCCCTCTACCTCAGAGCTGATGAGCAAGTCCTGACAGTCTGAGATGAGGCCTGAGGGAACTGTGGGATGCTTGGGGAGACCATGTGTGGAGTCCTCCTGGGGCAGCCACAGGACCTGAGGCATGCCCATCGTGGTATCCAGCATCTTCAGGCTGAGGGCCCAGATGAGGAGTTTAGGAGGTTTTCTCAACAAAGCTTTAAAAGGCGTTGTTCTGTTCTAAGGCAGCAGTGAAAAAAAGGAAAAGCTATTTTGTGAATCAGTTAAGTTCTTTTTGAATTTTATTCTCTTTTCTCTGAGTATTGACTACTCCCAGCTACTGAAATTTGTCTTCTGTGAACTTGAACCTCCCGAGGAAGACTTGTTTGTGGCTGTCCTAGCTCTGCTCACCATCCCCTCGCCCCCGGGTGTCTCCCCTAGGCTGCAATCCAGTCCCAGTTGGACGGTGTGCGCACAGGCCTGAGCCAGCTGCACAATGCACTGAACGATGTCAAAGACATCCAGCGGTCCCTGGCTGACGTCAGCAAAGACTGGAGGCAGAGCATCAACACCATTGAGAGCCTCAAGGATGTGAAGGATGCTGTCGTGCGGCACAGCCAGCTTGCCGCAGCTGTGGAAAACCTCAAGAACATCTTCTCAGGTGGCTGCGGGGGTTGGGGAGACAGCTGGGGATGGCCGGTGCTTTGGGCGTCAGGGGCAAAGTGCTGTCTTTTCTCTTTTCTGTGACTCGTTTTTCCTCGCTGTACAGGTGATGAAGAGGTAGATCCAGCTTTTTTTGCGGTGTATTTTGTAGACCTCCCTTGGTGTGGACAGTGTTTGATTCCCACCTGTATAGTTAACTTCTTGTTTGCACTAAGGGTGGAAGGGACCAGTTGAACAAGCCAAGACCAGTAAAATGCTTGTAGTTCTGTTTGGATAGAGGCACAGAAATGGGTTAACAGAATAAGTGCTTGTGAGCTTCATTCCCTGGGTTGCAGTGTGGCTGTCAGATCAGTAGACCAGATGGAACTCTGACAGGTGAAAAAGAGAGAAGCATCCCCGTGAACAGGACAGACAGGCCAGTTCCCAGCTGGAGAGGTGATGCAGGCAAGTGGCAGTTCCCAAGTGGAGAAGAGTGTGCACAGGCCGGGGGGGGAGGGCACAGGAGGGAAACACTCTGCAGCCTTGGTCAGCATTGGGCAGGATCTGGTGGAGGCCTTGGGGCAGGGTGGGGTGGGGTGGGGACAGGAGGTGTGGGGGTGGCCCTTTCAGAGCCATGTCCTAGTACCTCACCAGTGAGAGGCTCTGCTGCCTATCCGGGAACAGTGTCATTTGTCATGTGGGTGGGGCTCCATGTCTGCTCAGCACAGTCCAGAGATTGTCTCACCCCTCATCCCCTCACCTCTGTCAGGGTCACCAGCATCCCAGCAAGAGACCTTGGGATGGTCTGACCCCTTCCCTTCCTTTATCCCGTGTCTGGTCTCAGTGAATTCTTTCTGTCCTTTCCTAAACTCTGCTCGCCCCCTGAGCGTAATCTGCCACAGTTCTTCACACCAGTATAAAGGCACATCATGGTGGCCCTGCTCCACCCGCATTGTACCTTGGTAATTTGTGTCCTCTTCGGCTCCTTTTCCTTGGACTCCTCTCACACTCGTGTCTGATGGCAGCGTTGTTGAGTACCTGGCCCCCTTGCTCATCTTCCCAGGGTCTGATACTTGGGGCCATGTTCCAAGTTGCTTCTCACATCGCGCCCCCCCCCCGCCCCCAACGAATGGCACAGCATTGCCAACTCCACAGTGGGTGCTAAGGAAGCAGCTCGTCTTGGTGACTGTTGGCTGCCTGGAATTGGAACGTCGTCCCCAAGCCTGAATGTCCTTCATGACACTGAGCCAGCACCTTGCTAGTTAATTTCCCCCCTTATGATTTCCTGTTGACTGGCAAGATTTCCTTCTAGTCTTGTAAAGCTAATGTCAAATGATCAGCAGTTGCTTTACTGGAAGAAGTTCATCCACAGGAGTTGAAAATAATTTTCTTCCCTTGAAGAACAAATGAGGTTATGTTATATACGCATTTTTGTTAGGAGTAGACTTTATTGGGAAGATGTTGTGCTGGTTTGACCCTCTTAGACTTTTCTCATTGCCTGTAATTTGGTAGTATTGTGCACACAGCCTTTTTCCCCCCACTTTGTTTTAACATGAGATACACTTAATATAAAATTTACTATCTTGATTGTTTTTGAGTGTACAGTTCTTTGGTGTTACATACTTTCACGTTGTGCAGCTGTCACCACCATCCACCCCCACAATTCTTTCATCTTGTAAAACAAACTGTACAGTGCTGTGTGTCCGTGACATGCTAGTAAAACTAAAAGAAAAAGACCAAACTTTGCACCCATTAAATGATAGCTCCCCATTTCCCCTCCCCTTACTAGTTGTGGATCTATTTAGATTTTCTGTTTCTTCATGAGTTAGTCTCTCTAGGTTTTTTCCACTATGTCTAGTGCAAAAATTGGTTGGTGTACAATTGTTCATGGTACTCTCGTGATCCTTTCTATTTCTGTAGAATCAGCAGTAATGTCCCTACTTTCATTTCCGATTGTAGTATTTGAGTCTTCTCTCTCTCTCTTTTTTTTAAGTTAATTAGCTAAAGATTTGTCAATCGTTGATCTTTTCAAAGAACCACCTTTTGGTTTTGTTAATTTTCTCTGTTGTTTTCCTATTCTCAATTGTGTTTCTTTCTGCTTTTCTCTTTATTATTTCCTTCCTGCTGGTAGCTCTGGGGTTAGTTTGTTCTTTTTCTGATTCCCTAAATTATAAAGTCAGGTTGTTGATTTGATAGTTTTCTTCTTTTTTTTTTTTTTTTTTTTACATAAGCATTGACAGCTATACACTTGTCCTTAAACATTGCTTTCTTAGATCCCTTAAGTTCTGGTGTGTTGGGTTCTTATTTTTGTCTAAGTATTTTCTAATTTCTCTTGTGATTTCTTCTTTGACCCAGTGATTGAGTGTGTTAATTTCCACTAATTTGTGAATTGTTCATCTGTTACAGATTTCTAACTTCATCCCGTCTTGGTTGGAAAAGATACTTTGTATAATATTTACCTTTTCAAATCTGTTGAGATTTGTTATCTTACATAAGGTCTATCCTTGAAAATATGCTCTTGGGAAGAATATGTGTGTGGCTGCTGGGTGGAGTGTTCTGTATATGCCTATTAGATGTAGTTGGTTGATTGTGTTGTTTAGGTCCTCTGTGTCCTTCCATATCTCCTGACTGGTTGTCCTGTCCACTACCGTGAGTGACATCGAAGTCTCCCAGTTATTACTAGAGAACTGTCTATTTTCCAGTTTTGTGAATTTCTGCTTTGTATATTCTGATGGTCTCTCATTAGGTGTGTAATTGTTTATAATTGTATCTTCTCACTGTAGGAGCCTTTTATTAACATATAACGTGCCTTCTTTGTTTCTTGTAAACTTGATTTCAAGTGTATTTTGTCTGGTATTAGTGGGACCACCTGCTCTATTTGGGTCACTATTTGCATGGAATGTCCTCTACCACCCTTTCATTTCAACCCTGTTTGTGTCTTTGGATCACAAGTGAGTCTCTTATAGATAGCATGTGGCTGGATCTTGTGTTTTATCCTTTCTACCAGTCTCTGTCTTTTATTTGGAGAATTTAATCCATTCACATTTAAAGCAATTACTGAAAATTTGTGACTTATTTCTGTCATTTTGCTATTTGATTTCTGTGTGCCTTACAGCCTTTTTGTCCCTCATTTCCTGCATTCCTGTCTTCTTTGTGTTTAGTTGATTTTTTTGTGGTGAAATGTTTTAATTCCTTTTTCATTTCCTTTTTTATGTATTCAAAAGCTATTTTCTTTGTAGTTACTGTGGGGATTACATTTAACATCTAAAATTAAAGTACTCTGAATTTATACGAGTTTAACTTCAGTAACAGGCAAAAACTCTGCTCCTACACAACACTGTCTCACCCCCTTTCAGTTACTGATGTCACAAAATTACATCTTTATACGTTGTCCAAAAACATAGACTAATTGTTTTTTATGCATTAGTCTCTCAAATTATGTGGAAAACACAATGTGGAATTATACACCAGTTACAGTAAACTAGCTTTGGACAAATAGTTTTTTTCCCTTAAATATATTAGTCTTTTAAATTAAGTAGACAAAGTAAAGCGACAAACGAAAGTTACCATAACACTAGCTTTTAGAGTTACCTGTGTATCTACCTTTATTGCCATCTTTATTCCTCCCCCGCTCTCTGCGTTACCATCCAGCACCCTTTCATCTCATCCACAGGACTCATTGGGGCAGCTCTCCAGGCCGAGGAGTGCTCAGCTTGTGCTTGTCTGGGAGTGTCTTTGTGTCTCCTTCGCTTTTGAAGGACAGTTTTGCCAGATGTAGGACTCTGGGTGACTCTTGTTTTCTTTTAGACTTCAACTGTCGCAGCCAACTGCCCTTGGGCCTCCAAAGTTTCTGATGAAAAATCTGCTTGTGGTCTTACTGAGGCTCCCTCGTAGGCAACCAGCTGCTTCTCCTCACTGCTTTCCAGGTTCTCTGTCTTTGATTTTCAGCAATTTGTAATGTGTCTCGTTCTGGGTCTCTGAGTTCTTCCTACTTGGAGTTTATTGAGATTTTAGATGTTTATATTCCTGTCTTTCATCAAGTTAAGTAAGTTTGATCATTATTCAGATAATTTCTTTGTTTCCTTTCCTTTCTTTTTATCTTCTGGGATGTCCACAGTGTGCATGTTGGTCCACTTGACATTTTAAAACTTTTAAAACTTGTTTTAAAGTCTTCATCCAATAGAGGGGCGTCTGTTAAGCGTCTGCCTTTGGTTCAGGTCATGACCCCAGGGTCCTGGGATCGAGTCCTGCATCGGGCTCGTTGCTCATCGAGGAGCCTGCTTCTCCCTCTGCCACTCCCCCTGCTTGTGCCTGCTCACTCTTGCTCTCTGACAAGTAAATAAAGTCTTTTAAAAAAAGTAAAGTCTTCATCCAGTAGATCGACAACCTAGTGTTTCTTAGGGATGGTTTCTGTTGGGTTATCTTTTCCCTTTGAATCTCCATACTTTCCTGAATCTTTTTATGTCTTGTGATTTTTGTTGTTGTTGAACGTTGGACATTTGAATCTAATAACATAGTAACTCTGAAAATCAGATTCTCCTTTTCTGCCGGGTATGCTGATTTTTGTTTATTGTTCTTGTTTTGGTTATTGTAGGCTGTCTCTGTGCTGAGGATTAGACTGAGATATAAATTGAAGATCTTCTCAGGTCTTTTCTGAGCCTGACCTTTCCCTGAGCATGTGCAGGCGCTTTTTAATTACCCTGTATATGAGGTTGCTTTTGGATGTCATTGTCTTTAATGTCTGGAGGGGGAAGGAATAAAAATGGAGGGGGGAAAGAGGCACTGGCTCTTTAAATCATCTGGAAGTCACCTGGCTCTAGGGCGAGGGGTTTGCAACAATGGTGGCCTGAGTACAGTAACAATGGGTTCCACCACTGTGTCTGCATCTCCCTGATAGGAGGCAGCAACCAGCATTTGGAGCACAGATCCCCAATGTTTGGAGGACATGGTCCTTTTTGCTCACCTAGGTTCCCTCAATCTGTGTGCAGGCTGCTTCGGGAATGCGTGGCGGGCCAGGCTGGGGCTGGTGCTGGGAAGGTGCTCCTGTGCTAAGAGCTGAAATTGACCAGAATTAACCACAGTTTACTGCCAAGCCATCTCCTGGAATTTGCCAGCCTTCTGCAGACTCCACAGTTCCAAAATAGTTATTCAGACGGATTCTGCCAGTGTAGTTGCTGTCTGGTGTGGAGACAGATTCCTGGTGCTCTCTCTGCCATCTTCCCAGGGTCCTACCCAGCCATTTGTGTGGTTTTTCATGGTGCCATCTTGTGCCTTTTTCCCTAGTGCCCGAAATTGTGAGGGAGACCCAGGACCTCATAGAACAAGGGGCGCTCCTACAGGCCCACCGGAAGCTGATGGACCTGGAGTGTTCCCGGGACGGGCTGATGTATGAGCAGTACCGCATGGACAGTGGAAACACTCGTGACATGACTCTCATCCACAGCTACTTTGGGAGCACGCAGGGGCTCTCGGACGAGCTGGCCAAGCAGCTGTGGATGGTGCTGCAGAGGTCACTGGTCACTGTTCGCCGTGACCCCACCTTGCTGGTCTCAGTTGTTAGAATTATCGAAAGGGAAGAAAAAATCGATAGGCGCATACTTGACCGAAAAAAACAAACTAGTTTTGTTCCTCCTGGGAGGCCCAAGAATTGGAAGGAGAAAATGTTTGCCATCTTGGACAGAACCGTGACGACTAGAATTGAGGGCACACAGGCAGACACCAGGGAGTCCGACAAGATGTGGCTCGTCCGCCACCTGGAAATCATAAGGAAGTACGTCCTAGATGACCTCATCGTTGCCAAAAACCTGATGGTTCAGTGTTTCCCTCCCCATTATGAGATCTTCAGAAACCTCCTGAGCATGTACCACCAGGCCCTGAGCACGCGGATGCAGGAGCTTGCGTCCGAAGACCTAGAAGCCAATGAGATCGTGAGCCTGTTGACATGGGTCTTAAATACCTACACAAGGTAACTCCAAAGTTACTCTTATATTTTCTTTTATGTAGAGTTGAGTTGTTTTGCTCCAGCATGTGCTCAGCACCCTCAGACTTTGTTTTCCTACTGATGAAAGCCTCCCCTCTGGTCCCTGTGTGGGCTTAACCTTGAGGTCAGGGCCCAACCTCTGGTTGTGTGAATGCTCTTGTGTTTGGGTGGTGCTCCTGCCCTTGACGTCCAGTCCCTAGTAAGCAGTTCAGCATTGGGCTCTTCCATGATACTGAGTGCTCACTGTGCACTAACCCATTTCCTTCTTACGGTGACACCCTGAGTGTGTGATTTTACCTTGGGGGACGGGTAAGGACACATGGGCGCAGGATTTCCGGGGACCTGCACGGAGTCACAGGGGCCACCAGCTCACTCCTCCTGGCTTCCAGGCCCTTGCCCCCCCCCGTTTGGTTTCTTCTCACCAGTGTCCTGGAAAAATCCATTCTTTTTACATTTCAACCTTGAGGTTTTGTTACTTCACAAAAGGGACGTGGGCCATTTTGTGCTTGTATTCGTTTGACGTAGGGTTTGAAAATGGAGGCCATGGCGGGGTATTCTGACATTCTTTAAGTGTAGCTAGCTGAGAAGAAGATGCATTTTGATTTTGCAGGGTTTTGTGAATAGAGAACAGTATAGAGTACTGTACTGGAATTATTTTTAGCCTGTCTGCTCATGTGCAGAAATTTGTTAAACCTCTTGCTTTAGCAATAAGGTTTTGGATGTTTTGTTTGTGTTTTGGTAACTGGTCATAGTAGAGAATATCTACATCTCAACATAAAATGGGAGAAACTCTCTCATCCATGATAGTGATGGTCACTCTGTCCGGTGTGTCTGCAGCTTCACTCTGCCAGGCCTGGGTCCTGCCCCCTGGGCACTGCCCTCGCCCCAGCCACAAGCCCAGAGTGATCACCATCTCCCCATCCTGTGGCCTTCTCTGTACAGGGCTCAATTTCACGTTACCCCATGAGGAAAGCACTGTTAGGGTCATATTCGTTTGCTTGAGGAAGCAGGCGCAGGGAGTCACGTGCCCAGCATTTACATGGACAGCGAGTAGAGAGCAGGAGTAGAATCTGGGCCCTGGGCCCTTTCCCTGCTCCAGCCACCAGACTGGGGGTGCTTTTGTTGGTGTGCACAGTTTTGTGTCTTGGTTTTGTGTGTTTTTCTGTGTGTGGACAGCTGCATACTGGCCACCTTTTTAGCATTTGGACTTTCTAGTGGGAAAAATTGGATTGCTTTCATACTAGAAACATTTCACGCTGAATTAAGGTTCTTGGGTGAAAATCTAGGTTGAGTGAATAGTCTTTTAATACTTGCAGATTTTTATGAAGTGCCTTTTCACTGAGGAAGACCTTGTATTTCTTATAGATAGTGGACTAGCTGTGAGTACTCAGTGTTTTCCTCGTAAATACGTATTTAGGGAATATGGCAAAAGGTGTGTGTATTTTTTCTGAACATTCAAACTTTGGACTTTTAAGAACCCAACCACACAGAGATAACTTTTTTATGGAAACTTTTTTCTGAAATTCAGTCCACATCCATTCCTTCTTAAGCACACTTGTCCGAATGCATTGATACTTTTGCTGACTTATGTTTCATTATGAAGTTCAGGGATCAGCAACGTTAACTTCAGCGCTTATGTTTCTGAATTACTGTACTTGTTTGTCATTCCCTTGTTCGATAGGACCTGTCTACTCAGCACCTCCAGTTTGCCAGGCCCTCGCCTTCCCCAGGGGGAGGTGCTGGGCATAGACCAAACATATCTCCCCCATCACGGGGTTTCTTTCCCGAGTGATGTGGGTGCAGCGGGCTGAGGCCAGGGACAGAGGTGCCTTATGTGGCCACTTCTCACCCAGTGCTCTCCCCAGGGCCCCGCCTCTCCTCCCTGACACAGTCTTGAGGGTGGTTGGGTGTTTGTGTGTCAAAAGAAATAGCAACACTTAGCTGAGCATTTTCTGTCTTCCTGGTAATTACTCTTTCTCATACCTGGTTTTGCCGTAGTGCAGAGATGATGGGGAACATGGAGCTGGCCCCAGAAGTGGATGTCAGCATCCTGGAGCCTTTGCTTTCTCCAGATGTGGTCTCTGAGCTGCTTGACACGTATATGTCAACTCTCACTGTGAGTACAGCAATGTGTGGTCCCAAACCAGGCTGTGTTGGCTCCCTAAGTCATGCCGTATCCGAGGCCAGTGGGCAAAAGCAGGCAGGGGAGAAACCGGTTTTGATACTGGCTTCCTAAGGATGTGTGGGCTCTGCTTCTGGGAAATTGGATCTTGAAATGTGCGTTGGCCAGTTAGATGAGGAAGGTGGCTCATTCTGTGGCCCTGGGTCTGGAGGTCAAAGCGTGTGTTCTGCAGGTACAGAAACCTCCTCCGGCTGGAGTAGTGAGCCTGTCCAGCCCCTGGTAGCCAGGTGGGCAGTGGTGCCTGCCAGCCTCTTAGAGCTGAGCGCAGGAGTGGGAGGGTGGCAGTTGGGGACCAAGTGCCCCCCCCCCCCCGTGACCTGCAGGTGGTCTGCGAGTAACATGAGGAGGTCAGGGTCTGCTTCCTTGGACAAGGTGAGCGCAAGCAGCAGACAGCATGCTGACTGAGATGCTGAGCCCCACACTGGGAGGCAGGGAGGGGTCTGTGCTCCCGAGGTGAGGCTGCTGCTGTGTGGTCTTCCACGGACAAGCCTGCTGGGGGCATGTCCGCCTTGTGCTTCCGTGTACGGCTGACCAGCCTGGCCTCTCCTGCAGCGTGGTGCTCATCCAAAAGGTGGGCGGTGGAGGCAGCACCTGCCATGGAGGCGGCTTGTGGGATGGCTTCCCTGGCGTCCCCTTGTTCAGGAATAGCGACTCCCAGGGCCCTGAGTTTGGTTTCTGCTGCTGCACTGCTGAGGAGAGGCCGTGTGCATTGCCTCAGAGTGGTCTGTTCTGTTCTTCCTTCTTCTGTGATGCCAAACTTTTTTAGTCAAACATCATTGCCTGGCTGCGGAAAGCACTAGAAACAGACAAGAAAGACTGGATCAAAGAGACGGAGCCCGAAGCCGACCAGGATGGGTTCTTCCAGACGACACTCCCTGCCATTGTCTTCCAGGTACCATCGTGTGCTTCTGGGGTGCATTGCTGGATCATTCCTGGGATCTGTGGGTTTGACAAAGGAACATAAAGTGCCTCCCTTCCTAAAGACAGAGGGAGACCTTTCCGGTGCCTCAGGCCTCTCTTTCTGTCTGGAGCCGAAGATACCGAGGGTCGCCTGTCCAAGCAGTTTTGCGCAGAGTTACTCTAGTTTCCCTTAAGTGTTTGGATTTGAACTAGAACCGAAGTACATGTTATTTGCATGTGACACTCAGATTTGAGTTTGCTTTTTTGATGTTTCCTGATGTTGGAAATGGCTAAGATTTGTCTTCTAAAATGCCACCTGATTGAGTATAGCCTGATGGATTTGGGGAAGAGTCCTTTATATTTTAACCATAATTGTGCCTTCTTATGGTTCATTTACTTTTTGATGCCAAGCACCTGCTGGTGTTCTCCAGCTTCCTTACTGTCCTTTTCTTCTGGCCCGTCGGCTTTTCTTCCTGGAGGAAGGTTTCTGGCAGGAGGAGGGCTGAGTCATGGTCTAGTCCTTGTGTGAGACCACGTCACTGGCGTGTGCTTGGATGCCAGCCGGGCACAAGTGAACACTGTGGGCATCTGTCTCTGGGTGACACCATGAGCCGTAGAGGGGGCCTCACCCTTTCCTTGATTTTGGAAACTGGTGTCATGACAGACTGCATGTACCACAGGCCTGGGGTGAGCTTGGCCTTCCAGCCCTTCTCCGCCTCTCCATGTGTAGCTCCCCTGAGCTCCAGTGTGTATCCTCCCAATTCTTTGTAAGGAATCCACATCACAAATCACAGCCCAGCCCCTGGCACCCGTGTGACCCCAGCCGCACCTGACCTCCCTGAGCCCCCCATCTCCCTGTCAGCTCGCTGAGAATACACATTTCCCTCTTTGTGGAGACCAGCCTGTTTGCAGGTAATTAGGAAGCGATTCACTTGTGTTTTTTCATCTGTTGAGAAAGTTGTTCATTTAACTGACTTGTTATATTTTGAGTGGTTTCTTTCCTTTTTTTTTTTTCTGAATTCGGACTGTAACTACCAGTTGGCAGATAGGGGTTTTAATGGGAAACTTGTACCCTTGTGAGTTCATATTAGAATTCATAAATTCTCCAATTTTTAGATGTTCGAACAGAATCTTCAAGTTGCTGCTCAGATAAGTGAAGATTTGAAAACAAAGGTACTTGTTTTGTGTCTTCAGCAAATGAACTCTTTCCTGAGTAGGTATGTATTTTTGCCAGGGCGCTCATTTAGAAAGTGTATGTTTTTAAAGCTTAAAAGCAAAACTTTGATCCTAATACGCCTGATATTAAAAAATACTTTAAGCCTGGATTTGTTGTTGTGATCTTTGTTATTTTGAAACAAGCCTTTGGAATGGATTACGCTGGTTTCCCAAGAGCACAGATGGGCCTGCTGGGCCAGAGTTAGATTCTCCTCCAGACGCTTCCTTTCTGTAGTCGGCACTACCCAGGGCCTGGGAGGGACTCCACCGGTGGTGGCTCCCTGTTCCTGTGGCTGGGAGTCGGCCGTCCGACCAGGCTGGGGAGCGTGTCTGCTGCATGCCTGCCTCCCTTTGACTTGGTCGGGAAGGTTTTCAAATCTATACAGAAGCAGAAAGAGTGGTGTAAAAAAAACTTGACTCATCGTCCACCTTCAAAAGCTGTCCCTTGAAAGCCCCCCTCACCTCATCTGCACATACAGATGTCCCTTTAACCCTCCCCCACCCCCCATAAGTACTTTAAAGCAGATCCCAGACATTCTGGCATTTCATTCCCTGTGTCCTTACTCTGGCTGTAGGGCCGTCTGACAGCAAGTTTGTATTTGGGTTTCCCCAGTGGTTTCAGACATGGCTTCTTCTAGTTGTATGTTGAGACTGGGCTAGCAGCAGGTCTGGGCTCCCAGGTCTCGGGCGCAGTAGCGTGGCCTTGCCCCTCTGAGCCACTGGGTTGTGGACACGTGCAGATTATGTCATAGTGCCCAGCACCTTCTTGTCTAGCCCTAACTGCTGTCCCCCTTTGAGCCACATGTTGGCTCTAAAGACTTATGAGATTCCTCTTTATTTTCTTGCTGTTTGGCAAGAACCCGGCCTAAGCAGAGTGCTCCACATGGCAGCGCATCACGAGATGCGTGTCCCTCTGTCCTGCCCTGGTGGCTGTGAGTCCCCGCCAGTCATGCCCCTGGGGATCATGGCCTTAGTCATTTTGTTGGCAGAAGAGGAAATTTTCCTCATCAGCCCCAGAAGTTTGATTACCTGAACCACACGTTGGACAGAAAGGTGGAATAAATGCATAATTATTTCCCTTTAATTGCCAACTTTGCTCCTTTCTTAAGGTCTTTTAAACATATATACAGTGTGTTGTAGTGTTCTGCTCTTGTGTGTGAGTCTCTAATGAATTAAAAAATAAAATATGTAGTGATCTCTGTTGCTTGTTTTCTTGACCTCAGATGAGCAAGTTATTTTCGAGTAATTTCTTAATTTGATTTCTTCAGGGAAAGTTTCAGGAAGTGACATTTTATCTAATATTTCATGATGTTCCCAACACTATTGTATGAATTTCTAGGCAAATTATATGTCAGATAAAATAATATTCCACCTACAAATATTTCAAGATATTTGTATGCTCAGAATACTGAATCATATTTCAAAGCCTGATACAAAATTTATTTTCAATAATCCATATAAAATGACCAGCTTCCCTGATTTTTCATTAGTATAGATCATCCAAAAATTTATTTTATTTTTAAAGATTTACCTGGTCAGATGTTAATGATGCCAAATGTATTTATCAGGTGTGATTTCTTTGTGGTGTTTGGCACACCCCCAGGCTCCCCCTTACTGATAGTTTTGCTGGGGGGCTGTGTGTCCTCAGATACAAAGAGGAAGCTCAGTCATATAAAGAAGAGCACCTGAGGAATCGGCAGCACCCCCACTGCTATGTCCAGTATATGATCGCCATCATCAACAACTGCCAGACCTTCAAGTAAGTGACCGTCACGGACAGGGTGACCCAGGAACAAAAGAGCAGAAGGTAAGGATACTCAGTTGCTTCATGGGGCCTTAACTGTTTCCTTACAGAGAATCCATAGTCAGTTTAAAAAGGAAGTATTTGAAAAATGAAATGGAAGAAGGCATGTCTCTGAGCCAGCCAAGCATGGATGGGATTCTGGACACCATTGCAAAGGAGGGCTGCAGCAGCCTGCTGGAGGAGGTCTTTCTGGACCTGGAGGTGGGAGCCGGTTCTTTACTGCTTTATTTCCAGGCTGACAATAGTGTTTCCATCCAGTGTGTATGTGGGTCTGCGATGTACCCTGTGACTGCATACCCGAGCGGAGCTGACACTTCAGTTCACCTCTCACTGTGAAAGGGCCTTTGCTTTTCTGTGAGGTGTGCCTTACATGCCACAGGCCCAGACTGGAGTCCTCTGACGTACAATTGCACAGACTTCCATGAAATATTAAAGTGATTAATCTGCTTGGCGAATTACAAAATGGAAACAAGGACATAGAAGGAAGATGGACTGTGTTCATTAGCAAATTCTTGGTACCAGAACCAAATTGAGAACTCATGCATGTGTGCAACACACATCACATGGACCCTTTGAATAAAAATACAAAACAAAGTCATTAATAAAATGCATTTAGCATCATATCAAAGGCATAATACACTAAGAACAAGTAGGGTTTATTTCAGAAGTACAAAGATGGTTTAGCGTTATGTAGATGTATAGGTAGAAACCAGAATATATTAAAAAAATAAAACCGTGATCATCTTGGGTCCTCCTGGGAAGGAAGTAGCTGGAGAGGAGCTTCTGGGGTGATTGGTGGGATCATTTTGTGATGTTTGCAACTTTCTCGAAAATGGTTTAGAAAACAGATGAAATGGATACATTTGAAATTATTTCAAAATAAAAAAACTATAACAGAAAATTAGATAAAGGACACAAGTAAGCCCTTTCACAGAAAAGGGATTACAAATGTCGTAAATGTGAAAACAAAATGCCTGGTCTTCCTGATCTTCAGAGATGCGCAAACTGAAACCGAGTATTCTCTGTTGCTTCACGGGATGCCAAGTGGTATTGCAGGCATGGGAAAGGGGATGTTCTCGTGTATTCTCTGTAGAACCAGTGCTGTAGTTTTTGGAGGGCAGTGTGGAAAGTTTCGGGGTTTTAGTTTGCACACTCGTGGGCTGAGCAGTTCTACTTTTGGGGTTTCACCTGCAGAAATGCACAGGTTCACTGCACTGTTCTTTGTAATTGCAAAATGTGAGCAGTTTTAAATGTCCATCAGGATTGGGTAAATGCGGAATATCCATATAATATATGTAAACAATAAAGGCAGTGTGTGTACGGACAGATCCACAGTCACCGAAGTCGTGTGTGATGAGTGTCTCACAGAGTTACGGTACGTGTTTGCGGACTGCGTGTCGGTGGAGTTGTTACGTGTGTATTGCTGTCACAGAACATCACTGAGGCTCTGCAGCACCTTCCTCCTGATACACGTGACTCAGGGACAGTGTCCAGGTGACGTTTTCTGTGTTCTTTTCAGCAACATCTCAGTGAGCTGATGACAAGGAAGTGGCTGTTAGGATCCAATGCTGTGGACATTATTTGTGTTACCGTGGAAGATTATTTCAATGATTTTGCCAGAATTAAAAAGCCGTATAAAAAGGTAAAGAGTGTGGACACAGTGATTTGGTGTGAGCTCATCTCCAAGCGTCTTGTTGGAACTCAGTGTCCAGTTGGTTCTTCTGTGAATGGAGGTTCACAGGTGGTTTTATTAACCCAAGGCAGGCAGGAGATGTCAGTGTCTGGAGGTAAGCCGGGTGGAGGTGATGATGCTTCTGTTCCTTTAACCTGACTGCCTCCTGACACTCCACCAAGCCCTCTTGGACACGTGGCCACAGACGCAGGCTGCACTTGCGGTAGGGACCTCCTCAGCCGCCCCGGAATCCCCTAGAAGGGAGGGTGGGGGCAGCGGCTCTGGACCATTTCCTCTCCGGGATCCCTGTCCAGGGCACAGGCAGGCTGTTGGCCTTTCTCCGCTCCAGCAGAGGCCCCAGGGCTCCTCTCTGTGTGGCCGGGCTCTGGGGGACCCAGGAGCCCTGCCACAGACGCACAGAACCCCCGTGTGCCTCAGCTGCGTGCATGTCCTTGGCGTTTCCCTGAGGTAGCCCATTTCCTCCTGCAGCTCCTGGGCCCCTCTCATGGGTTCTCAGGGCCTTAGGTGGTGTTTGCATTGTTGCTCTAACAAGTGATGCGTTTTAAAAAGTCAGGCTTTCCAGGTGTTTTTTCCTGGCTTATAGGAAGTGGTTTTGATATACTGACGTCATGTTCAGACATTTTGTAAAACTTTCTGATTGTTTCTGGGATTTGTCTTGGGACCCTTTTAGATCTCTGTGTAGACGGTTGTGTCGTGTGAATAGTGACACTGTTTTCATTCTGGTCCTCACACCTTTCATGTCGTCTTGTCCTGCTGTGATGACTGGGACCCAGTAGAACCCTTGTCGAAGTCCTCATTTTAAAGGAAATTCTTGTGACTGCCAGTAAGCCTGCTACCTGTAGGGAGACCCGGTGATTGGAACCCGACTGCCTGCTTCCCTCACCTGTGCTGTCCGGGGGCCTCTGGCTGGCCCGCAGTCCTGTGCTGCTCTCTAGGCTGTTGGCTCCACCGTTTATTTCCTTAAACATTTGCTGGGTTGATTCAGTAGTTCGTGCCTGAGGAGCCCATGCATGCGTGCAGCCCTCCCCGTGGGGGCTTGTCTGGAGGGCTCATCTGCTGGTGTGATTGGGCGCAAGTTTCCTTTCACCACTTACTTGAAAGAAACCTAGTGAATACTGTTGTGAACCCGCACGTGTGCTCCTTCAGGTTCTGCCATCTGTTCACAGGCGGGAGGGTGTGTGCCCTGCACAGCTGCCTGGCCAGCCTGGGTCTCAGCAGGTGCCTGGGGCGTGGGTCTCAGCGGGGGACGGGTGGGGGCGGGGTGTCTCAGTGGGGAGCCTAGGGGGTCTCAGCAGGGGGATGTCACAGTGGGGAGCTGGGGGGAGGTCTCAGGGCGGTGTCTCAGTGGGGATCTGGGGGGAGGTCTCGGGGGGTGTCTCAGTGGGGATCTGGGGGGAGGTCTCGGGGGG